ATTCATCCTTTAGCTGTTTAACAGCCTCAGAAGTCAGCTTCAATTCTTTTGATTTTCCTTTAAGGGAATCTGTCAATAGTTTCACTAATTGTACATAGCTGAGTATGAATCATGGATAAAAGTTAATGAAACAGAAATTTTCTAACTTGCGTCAGAGAACTTGGTATGAGGTATTGCTTAATGGTGTTCAACTTTTCTTTGATTAGTATAGTCTCTTCTGGGTTTACTGTATGCCTGAGGAATTCTAGAGTTTGAACACCGAACACATACTTTGACGTATGTTCATCCCATTTTCATCTAGCTGTTTTAACACTGCTCTCACGTGATATCCATGTGACTGTAAATCAGGATTGAAAATTAACAAGTCGATTATAATCTCCGGTGCAAAACGCAAACCACGAAGTAGGTCGTTCATAAATCTTTGAAATGTTTGTGCTATATTCCTATGTCCAAATAGCATACGTAGCAACTCAAACAATCCGTAGAAAGTAGCAATAACCGTCATGGGTATACTTTCCTCAGCTATTGCAAAGTCATGTTATGCTCTGACTGTCATTTTTAACAAGTATGCTCATACCCAGCAGGTCATTTGGATATAAGGCATTGGGTATCTAACTCTTACGGTTTGATGGTTGGTGGATCTGAAATCTCACACGGTCGCCAATCGCCTTCGTTTTTCTTTGGGACTATATGCAAAAGGGATTCCCACTGACTGTCAGAGGGACTGATAACACCCAGCTGTAGCATGTAGTAAGATTCAATTCTAGCTATTTTAAGCTTATCTGGTGCCAGTCTTCTGGGTCTGGAAGACACATGTGCACTTTCGGTTTTTTACTTTTAGAAAACTGAAAATCCGGTTTGGTTAGGTTTAAAAAATTTCGCTAGTGTATCCTGAGATTTTTCCGTTGTTACTGACGGACTTTTTATCAAATTTAGAGATGTGATTTGTCTTCCTTTGTCGTTTGTGTAATTTCAAGTTTCCTTCGGCGTTTTAGTGTCGACTGGATATTCATATCACATTAAAAAGTCCATTCCCAGTATTGCCAGATCTACAGTAAGCAGTAAGCAACCAGTGGAATCGTTTCCTAAATCCTATGTCTATCGACAGCGTTATCCACCCGATCGTCACGATTTTAGTCTTGTTGGCAGCTTGAGGTGTAACCGGGGAAATGTTTCGACCCAGGTCAGTTTTATTCTAAGGAACGATACTAAACTTTGCACCGGTATCCATCGAAATGTTCAAGTATGAATTTCTGTTTCTAGCACAAGACAAATATATGTTCAGGCACCTGTTCTCAATCGTCGAGATCAGATGGGAGGTTATAATTCGTTCTCCATATTCTTGAGAGTTCATTTAAGCAAGGCACATATCTGAATGATTCTGATTGATTGGACAGAAAAGTTACAATAATATCAATTAAATTGTCCAGATTGTTTGGACAGTTGTGACCTCAGTGATGATCTGCCACAGGTTCTACGGTCTGTATACATTTTAGCTGCAGTCCCTGTGAAATTTTAACACTTGCAATGTATTCTGCTATGATTGGATCTTTTAATGATTCTTATTTTTGTGTATGATGAAGCGTTGTGATCCAGTTGGGGGGTCTCTTTCGATTATTCCACTTGCAAGACGTGCTAAAAAAGATCAAGATGTGCCGGATTTTGACCATCCAAACAGTTATGAGTGTAGAATGGTGAAGCTTGTATCATTCTTGTTTTAGGATTGATCCTCTCGCTCAAACTTGAAGGCGACGTAACAACTGTGGTAACATAGAACTTATCGTTTTACCTTGGAAAAGCCATTGTGTCCTTTTTCCATCTGACAAAGATGGACGGTTAATCATCTCTCATATTAAAATGATGTGTGGTTGTAATGTATGTGAACCCAAAATTAAGTCACAAACTTATCTGGCAACTGAAGGAGATAAGACAAAGCATAAATCTCTGCACCGAAATCCCTCAGATTTATTGTTATGTCTCATGAAATAATGATTTAGTTGAGCAAACCGCAACTAATGTCCAGTAAGGTCAACTTCTGGGAGTCGTACTTTCATGGCCGTAACAGTGTTTATTTCTGCTGTTGAGAAATTACATTTTTCCTTCAGGCTTTCGGTTTGTATTGAATCTAAAATTTGTTACATGACAAATATATTGCTATAATATGAACGGGGTATAACAATGACTTCAGCAGGAATGCTTTGTGACGAAGAAACAATGTATAAAACATAGGTGTACGAAATTAACGTTTAAAATAACCAGAAGTTTCACTTTAACGACTAAGCAAACAAAATATTAAGCTAAATTGAAATTAATTTTTAAGTTCAATATTGGGCTCCCCAGTTTTATGCCTGTGGATGCCCTTCGTTTTATTGATAGAGAAAACCAAACTAGTAGTGAATAGATCCTCATTAATATCGTGGATTGCATGCAATCAACATTTAATACAATATGATAAGAAATATAATGCATATACAAAAGAAGGAGTGAATGATAACTTGAACTATAATGTTTCGACATTACTAAGATGTTCGCGACCAACTCCTAACCAATCAGCTTATGTTGTTACAGATCTTGCTTCCCTGATTTATTCCATATACCACTTAGCTCACAGTTATAAAAAAGGTTCAAAAATGGTTTGCTAGAGTTATTGTTTTTATTTAAACTTGACTTGATAACCAATGTACATTTAATGACGACACTAATCCGATATTTTCCAATTTACCATTCGAAGCCCATAAGCAAATACTTAGTCCTAATGCGACAGCTCTTAAAAACACTGTCAAGATTGAAAAGTCTATGCCACATAAGAAAAATGTATGTACAGAACGTGGTTCTAGACCGAATAACAAGAACATTACGAAGGCCCTACCAAATAAAATAAGATTATACTTCCCAACACCATGCTTTACCTTACGCAGGGGAGGTTATAAGGACAGGTTTCACTCAAATGTCCCACAAGACGACCATTGCAATCATTATGTGAGCAGGCCTGATATTGGACAAACCACAGTGAACCGACGTGTCCCACGGTTATCCTCAAATGTTTTAAATAATAAACCTGTAAGACGTAACTTTTCTCAATTTTTTCCCATTGGACAAGATGGATTACTAGGTTACTCACCACCAACCCAACCCCATCTGGCAAGTGCTTTTCTTAACTGTTTGCCTAGTCAAGTTCAACAGATTAATCCACTTTATCAAAATAATGATTTTTTGGCCTTCGAAAATTCCTGGTCCCACTTGCACTACAGTTTGTTCAAGCGATAGCCCATATGATCAGTCAAACATAATAAACCACAGTCTATGCAAATCGGAAATGCACAACATCAATAGGGAAGCTATCGGTTTTTTTACACTCCATACTCTCTTTTTAAACTTATTACTTATCAATGCACGTTCACTTCTGAACAAAATTTCAGCGTTGAGAACATTAGTTTTTCTAGCCAAGCCTTCTTTCATACTTGACACTGAAACATGATGCTCTCAAGCAGTATCTGGTTGAGAATTAAATGTCCAGAACTATCGACTCTCGCTGTGTCAGAGGAACTAAACGAGGAGGTGGTTGCATTATATTTGCTTTGGATACCATAACAACCAATAAAGTTGAAGATAGTGTCCTGAATAGTTTACCAGAATCAGTCTGGATATAAGTCAACACCCTAAATCATAGTCTACTCCTTGGATTTATATACAGAACCCCTGATAGTTCGAATAATGGGAATGATCTTATTATCAATGCATTCATACATGCATCTGTTATCACTGGAGATTTCAATCACCCTGGGATTAACTGGAGTACCGGCAGTTGTCAGTTATGTGATGATGAGTTCTCGGCATCCATTAACAAGCACTGCTGGTCACGGTGGGTTCGTACCCCAACTAGAGGAGTTAGTATACTCGATCTAATATTTAGTAGAGATGTTATCCCACTATCTGTAAAAGTTTACGATGAATTTGAAAGCAGCGACCATAAGATAGTTTGTGCTCTCAATATCTATCCCTCTTATAACCGACCCATTCAAAAAACCAGTCAATATAGAGACTATAAGTTGCTGACTGGGACCTCCTGCATTTATTGATTAAACTTTCAGGCTGGGATAACTTTTTTTCATGTAATATTCTCATGGATGCTATCGACGAATTCTATCTGATCGTTAACTCTTCTTTAGATTCCTCTGTCATTTTGACTTCTTTAATTTTGTCTATTCTCTACGTAGCCAAGGATATCTAGTCTTAGTGCTATATCTGGACATTTCTAAAGCCTTTGACATGGTTAGCCACCAACTTCTTATAGGTAAGCTCGCATCTTATGGGGTTCAAAATCCTTTGCTTTCTTGGCTTGATTCCTTTCTCAGTAATCGATATCAAATAGTTAAAATTAACTCTTCATTGTCTAACGCTGTCCCTGTTAGAAGTGGTGTAATACAAGGTTGTGTTTTAGACCCTTTGCGCTTTTAAGTGTTTATCAATTATATTTGTGAAAGTTTCTGTGTGGGTAAGCCCCTTCTATATGCGGATTATCTTAAATCAGTTTATTCATTTTCTCCACATGAGCTGAAAAATATGCAAAATTGCATCAGCATGGAGCTTAACAAGGTAGCACGGTGGTGCTTAAAATGGCAACTGGAGCTTAATACGGCTAAATGTGGATGGATATACTTCGGCGATACATCACTCAACCTAGACATTACCATAAATAGAGAAGTGTTATCTAGGTTGCATACAGTAGTAGACTTAGGACTAAGATACTCCCAAGACTTATCGTTTACAGAACATATATTAAAACAGACCTCTAAGTCTCAACGTCTAATAGGTTACATAACTCGAAACCTTTACAACAATGAGTCACGTATTCTAGTGTACAAAGTTTGTGCTCAACCTCTTCTAGAATATTGCATACCAGATAATATCAAGAAAAGGGCTGAAAGGCGTATTGAACTCGATGATGGACATTGAGCAGGTAGCTTTTCCTAACAACGATAACACTTGGGTTATCCAGTCAGCGGTTTATGAAAACTCGAGGTTAGTTGGGAGTTCTCGTTTTTTTCACACTTACTATTCTATCATGTCTGTCCAGAGAATTTTAGTAGTATTAGTGTTCTAAGGTTGTCCAATTTACAAAAATTTATCGACGTTATCGAAAACTTTTGCAAGTGCTTTCTTCGGTTATATCTGTTTGCTCATAATGTATGTAATTAAATTAAGTTTGTTTGAAAAGTTTCTGAACTTTGATCAGATACCTGGGCTTTGGCTTTCTCGGTAATGCCCGTGGACTGTATCGCGGCCGCAAAATAATGCTTCAGCATATACGTAATACTTCCCAATCCCCATATATAGGGGATTTTTTGTCCGTTTTGGGTAAACTTCTGGAAAAAACACAATTGAAAACTCTAGGGAATTGGCAAAAAACCTCAAACTTTTTGGGAAATCCACGAAATTTTTGGGGAAAATTTTTTGTTTTTCTCCAATATTTCCACAGAATCTTATAACACTGGGGTTTTTCCCGAAAATTTCCCAATACTGGGGAAAACCATAAAATTCCTCAAAGGTTCTCTAAAATAGGGAGATCACGTTTGATTAACATCTTTTAAAGCTAATCTCTCAGTCTATAATTCGAAAAATTTTGTTCCGTAATGTTTTTGTCCTTCAATCTTCGCCCAGTTCATATTCATAAATTTAATACCACTTGTGATTGCTTCGTGATATAATAGTGGTTTCACAGCCTCTCGCTAATTTAAATTTTGGATAGCATAGTTCCGACTGAATCAGAACTGCACGTCATGAACGTCTTTAGCTTCTCAGCCAAGATGTCTGTAAATGTTATATATTGAATGTCTGTATATCACTGTGACCCTGACTCTAAAAGTGTATAGCTAAGTAACCTAACTTAAAGTACACAGCGTAAGTAGTCTTTTGTACGGCTGTTGTTATTGAAGGAACCGCTGGCAAAGCACTTTCCCAACAACGTCTCAACCATCATCACCTTTGCTTCCGAAGCACAATACGTAAATTTTCAACTGGCACAACTCAAATGTGTATCTTTGTGGATTGTAGTGGTGGTGCTGTTTTACGTGATCACAACCTACGCTTATGGGCTGCACTAGCCATAAAAACGCGGTTTTGAAAAAGGAAATAAACCAGTAGATAGCGCTGTTCTGAGAAGTTATGGAGTTATATTTTGAACCAAGGAGGAAGTGCAGACCTGTGAATTTTTCCCAAAATAATCATGACCTCATGACTATACTCAGTGTGTTTTCTGTCATGTAAAACGGTATTTTGTCAGAGTTATGTCCTCTGCGCAACTAAACACCGGTAACCACTGAATATAGATACCTTATAGTTGGGACCAGTTAGTTTTAGTCCATTCATTTCGCAAAATGTCGCACTTAATGAATACCTAACTATGATTTTTTAAAAGTGAAATTTCATGAGAGCTGGTATGTATTCGAGTTATACTCTATATGCCCCTTAATAACACTGGGATTTATCATAACTACATGGGTTCGTTTAAAGTGTAGAGTTCCTAGACATGGTAACAAATTTCATGTGTACCAGATTTGTTATTCCAAATAATCATCATTAAGCTTTTCTGTTATGACCCCAAATAATGGGTGTGGTCCTGCATTTTTACAACTTACTGTTTATGCGGAGTATTTACAGTAGTCGCGAATTTGTTTAATTTATTATTTCTCCCGACTTAATTTAGTAACTGGTTAGTACGCCAGCTCTTGAAGCAAGAGTGTGAATTAGTTCTAAATGGGAATTTATTTAGTGACATGTACCGTTTGGGGTTTACGACTAACTGTCTTGTTTCATACACCAGTAGGGCGTTTAGTTTACAATTCAGTTACCTTTGTCAAAGCTGGTGAAGTTTTTGTTCGTAGAATTCTAGTGACTGTCCTGCAGTTTATAACACATAATAGTTGGAGCTTTTTAAATATCGGCTGCTAACAAATTGTGCAAGTATTAAATGAAGTATTAGGATAAACTGTGATCATGAACATAGGATAGTTTAAGCTATAGTTTTTGGGATTGTTACTGTTTGTAACTCCTATGTTTCAGAATTTTTCTTTTTATTAATCTCACCATAGCTAGGTTAACTAGATCGACTAAGGAAATGAAGTCTTCGTTCTCAATTTACATAGAGTGGTTTCAAAGTCTATCATCGAAGTGCTTCATAATAAATTACCACAATTGATTGTGTTGTCACAAATTAAATAAATATTTGTTTATAGATGGTGCAAGTAGTTAGGCATCATTTTTATAAATTTAAGTTTGTCTCTAGTTTTTCAAACATATAGGTTTCCAACTTCATCTATCTACGCAGAGTTTCTCCTTACAATTTTTCATTTGGCTTTCATTTGGCTCTTTTTGAACTAATTGTATGTTTTCAGACTCCGTTCTTCATATATTTTGTCAGCCAGTGATGATATAACTTATTTATCAAGTGCGAATTCATGTACTTGGCTTCAAGCTACACTTAATGTGAATGCTGGTAAGGCTACCTGGCTCCCAAAACTGAAGCAGATGGTATTAGAACCTAGTTGTTGCACTTCGGACATATAAATCATTAAACCACAAATCTAAATAATGTAATATACTAAGTTCATTTGTACTACGTCACAACGGTGAATATTATGTGATCTTATTCACTATCGTATAATTTCATCGAATTATTTTCTGATTCTTGTAGTTGTCTGTTGCTAAATGACCAAGTAAGTAAAATCTGATTGTTCTGCTTATGAATGACATCGTGATGCATTCTGTATTTCAGGCAATTTTTATACCCATTACTATATTTTTGTGGGATATCTAAATCAATGCTTCTTTGTTCAGGCGGCATTGGATTGCATCTGTTACCGATCCTCGTGTGTGTTCTCACCTTTGTTGCAGTCACGACTTGGTAGGTGGTTTAGAATTCTCCATTATATTTTGTTTTCCACGTTATAGTCAATTTTGACTTATCATTTTATCTTTATCAGAAAATAATTGTGGAGCAAAGCGTTCAGTAAAAGAGTGCTCAATCTGAGAGTTGAGTTAATTCGCAACTCAATTTACTGTCATCTATTAGGGATTTGAATAATGATGTTAAAAAAATAATTATTAATATGTGTTTTCAAACGTAATTTGTATGAAGGATTCTCTCAGATAATTGTTGTACTCCCTTATATCACTGTTGTTATTCAAAATACTGGCAACCTATCAGGTCCTTCAACTGTCTTTAGCGAAAACTTATATCCTAGTGAAGATTAAACTACGGGTAACTTCTGAGAACTATTAATGGACTAACATTACATGTATATATATACCTATTGTATAAATGTTCAGTAACTAGATTATGTGTATCTGTATTCCTCTTATTATAAGCTTCATTTTGACCTATAGATTATTACCATACGATTTACTGTTCTTGAATTATACTGAGTTTACTGATTACAATCTCCCATGTTCACTGTCACTTTTTGGCTTTATCTTGTGTAAATGTCGTTTCCTATTTTATGGTGTGGTTTGGTCTGTTTGGCTGGTATATAGACCAAGTATGTTTGAAACAAATGATTCGCATAGTAGGAGCTGTTATTGGCGTTTTGAACTCAACTGGACGGACTAGGCGAACAAAAGACCAATAAGGACGCTAGGCTGCTCGTACCGCTCGAACGTCATTGGTTAGCACATTACTGAGATTGAATAAGTCGTATTTCGATTAGCGAATAAGTCACGTGACAACTAGCCTGGTTTAATGTCACAACAAAACCCTCGGGTATTTGACATTCTTTGTAGTCATCGAATACAAAGTGATAACCCAAGGGTAGTTTCCGCGTTCATTTAGTTTAAGAATAATGAGGTAGCTGACTTTGTAGATCGCTATATTTATTTAAGAATTTTCACCAGTCATACTAAACAGACAACTGATAAAAGTCGTTGTTAATAAGGTGAGCCAGTTTGGCATTTAAGAACATAATACGGTAATGGGCTACCTATCAAACGGAGTATATTCCCCCAAATGCCCTGGCACGTCCGAGGGTGGGGAAAGTCAGCTCTCCTTCTCGAAATGCTCTCGCATGGCTACGCGTATACAACCACTGCCAGGATATTTCTACTCACTGCCTTCTCATGGTGGGTGTGTTATTTACGAAATTGAGAGGACGAAAAGCGAATGTCCGACTCTTTAACGGGATTGGCGGATGAGGGAGGTCCTCCTAGGAGGATTGGGAAGCCCTAACTACAAACGAATGGTACATATGGGCTCCAATATTGAGGGTACAAATGGCGTATGAACCAATCGTTTGTCAACAGCTACCATGGGACTGCATTTCCTGACGTTACTCCACTGCCTTGTGGGTCAGACCTTTGGGTCGAAGGCTCCGGGTGTGGCCCCTTAGGAAAACAACCCGCTTCGGTTTAAGCACCCGGGCAGTATTCCAGCCCTCACACAAATCGAATGTGGCGCATATCTATTTGGTGCCTCCTTGTACCAATTTTTATGTGTTTAAGTAAATAAATAGATGCATACATAAATAAATAAGAACAACACATATAAGCGAACAATTGCTTTCAATTAGATCATCATCAGGCTTTACTCTAATATACATGAATATTTATACGAAAATGTTAAACCAATCAAGGCAATATGGGTCAATAATCACAATGAAATAGAATAAGTCACCACACATAATAGGTAAAATTCATGTTGATAGTAGGAAGACAGGTGTACTGATAGTAGTAAGAATAATAAAATACGATAACAAAAGTCTTATCAACAGTTAAACGTTGGAAATAGAAGGTCAAACGTGGGTAAATAGACTTGGAACTATTGATAAGACTTTTGTTATCGTATTTTATTATTCTTACTACTATCAGTACACCTGTCTTCCTACTATCAACATGAATTTTACCTATTATGTGTGGTGACTTATTCTATTTCATTATGATTATTGACCCATATTGCCTTGATTGGTTTAACATTTTCGTATAAATATTCATGTATATTAGAGTAAAGCCTGATGATGATCTAATTGAAAGCAATTGTTCGCTTATATATGTTGTTCTAATTTTCACAATAGGAATCTTTAATATTCATAAATAAATAATATATTTGTAATATCCCAATGAGTAGAAAAATAGGATTTTCTGACGTTTCGTGACTTAGTGTAAGCCACTTCTTCAGAGAATAAATAACCAAATCATGTTTTATAAATTTATCGTCGTATGCAAATATCTGGCCAACTATCGTTATTTGTGACACTCAGCAGAAATGTAGACAATTTTAACTATCTAATTCGGTAACAACAAATATATATATATATATATATATATATATATACTGATTGCTCATCCAGTATGTTGTATCCACTACTTATTAATTCACACGATTTTTTTGTAGTTATTTCCTCTCTCTTACACAAGACCACATATCACCGTATTTTCCGTACATCAGGTAAGTATTTATTATGAAATCTGAGAAATTTAATTAGTTATTTAAACATATACCTGATTCATACTAAGCTAAAAGTTGAACGTGTGGAAGCATAAGTGAAGTTTAACATTCTGCACTTTAAAAATTCAGTGTCAAACTCACCTGCTGACCTAAACGTAAATCAGTTTTTTCCTTTTTTTGTATTGTGGGTGATAAACACTCGGCTGTCGGAAACTGAAAAAAGCATCTATCTAACCTTTCAGGTGGTATCATTCATTAATGTAGACATTTAGTTAGAGATAAGCTGTTCAACTTGTACTAATTTTATTCGTCAAGTGAAATACACTAGTCTTTTATCAAATGATGTTTTTTAAAGTGTCAAAATAATTAGCACTGATTATTTTCGTCTTTTCTTTATGGCGTTATGGATATACTATTGTTGATTTTTTTTTTTTTAAATATATTTAATCGCATAAACATTGGTACAATGGAGCACAATAAAAATAAGATTGTGGAGAGATAGTGAAAAGGCGAGTGTAGTATAAAGAGAGAACAGAATGGGCAGGAATTAGCGTACGAAATAATGATAATAGAAGCAATTCATTTAGGAAAAACAAAATCAGAAAGTAATCTTTCGGTGTAAGAAATTCTCCCACTTTTATGAAAAAAGTAAAATAAAGTTACAACAGGATCGCCACTGGCTTCTACTGTAAGTCATGTCTGGAAACTTTGATTTACCTCTCGGACTCCAACCACGTCGCCGTGAAGGTCCGACGGAAGCCACTCCTGTGGAGCTTTTTGTCATACCACGAAACCATGTCATATACTGACCACCCCCACTTAAACAACCAGTCCCAGCGTCGGCAACTAATGCCTTAGAACATTCCCAAGCCATTGAATCCGGTGTTTTAAGACAGTGACACCGATTGAATGATCGTCACTGTCCCCAAACCTCCTGATTACTAACATGTTGCCTGTGTATGTCAACAATCCTTCAGAAAACGTGATGATACAACAAAGTCGCTTAACATCCCCAACTTGGAAAGGCCAGGTTTCACAAGCATACAGTAAAATGGCTCTTACTGACGAGTCGTAGATCCGACCTTTTACAGGTAGACCAACATGATGAAGACACCAAAGTTGAGAAGGAATAGTGAGATTGGGCAACCCTGTCTAACTCCACTGGTTGAATGGAACAATGGAGAGCGGTGATTGTATTCCCTCACTCTATCTGAGGTGCTATTATATATGGCTTTTGAGATGTTAATAAATTTCTCAGGCACACCTTTCTTCAACAGACGATCTCATAGAATAGTCCTTTCCAACAAAGCGAAGGTGGTCCTGATATCAAGAAACACTGCGATTATGGACCTGCAATAAGTATGGTGGTGTTCTAACACATGGCGTAGGGTGAAGATATGATTAATACATCTTTGACTAGAATGAAATCCAGCCTTCTCCTCTCGAGTCACTCTTTCCCGGGTCTTGAACAGTCTATACATATAAGTATAATTGTATACGAACATTCGTCAAGATTAGAACGAATAGTTTGTATTTTAAACTAAAGTTCATGATATGTTTAAGTGGTCTATATACATGTGGTATATTCAGTCAGTCAGTAAAAACGTCGAACTTCGTACGTACGTACATCAGTTCGAGTTGCCATACCACATTCGCACAGAAATGCAGTTGTCGATTTAAATCCCGTAGTGGTAGAGGTAGTAAGAGTATGAGCAGTAATCGGAAAGATTAGGGTTTGGAGATGTTATTCAAGGAGTATAATCCAGCGAAATAAATTTGGAAAGAGGAAAAAAAGGACATGGAGAATTAAGAAGATTAGAATCTGGGAGAACACAAAGAGTGGGTGCACCTGCGCCATTGCAAACGATTTTGAGCCATGTCATTCAGGGTCTCTAACCATCGGTTGCTATCATCTCGTGGTCCCCAACCAGGTATTCTACACCTACCAACATGACTCAGTCCACTTGTCAGTGACTTCATGGACTTGTGCCATGTTTTGGTCTGGCCGCCCCTAGCTTTCTTCCAATCTACTCCTATACAACAAAACATCGCACATCGAGGTAGTCGGAGGTTGGGCATACGTAGCACATGTCCCAGCCATCTCAACTGATGAAGTTTCACTACGTCATCAATTGATTTACCATCCTCACCTAGTACCCGTTTCCTAACAACTGCATTACTTACTCGATGGTCCCAGGATATGCGAGCAATATTTCGAAGACACCTATGATTAAATACTAGTAACCTACGGATATCCTCTACTCTTACCGGCCATGTTTCACTGCCATAAATTAGGACGGAACGAACTGCTGCGCAGTAAACACGTCCTTTGGTTGATAGACGGATATCTCGCCTACGCCATAAATGACGCAAGTTGGCAAAAGCTAGTCGAGCCTTCTGTATCCGTGCTGAGATTTCGTCACACACCAGACCACAAGAGCTGATGAGACTTTCAAGAAAAGTAAAGCTATCGGCACACTCAATTACTTCACTCCCTATCATTAGTTCGAGTATCGATGCAACCCAATTCTGACGCAACATTTTGCATTTCGAGGGAGAGAATCTCATGCCGAACATGCTTGCATTGTTGCTTAGAGTGGTCAGAAGACTCTACATTTTGTCAGCGTCTTCACCAAATAAAACTATGTCATCAGTATATTCTAAGTCAAAAAAGAACCTCCTGGTAGAAGTTCAACCCCTGGAAATCTAGACGAGGAAAGTGTTATCTCTAAAAGTACGTCAACGACAAAAGTTGAACAATAATGGAGAGTGGACATCTCTGACGAACACCACTTGAGGTAATCAATTTTGATGACAGTTCGCCATAAGCTCTCACTCTACCAGTTGTGTTCGAGTAGAGAGCCTTTATAAGGTTAATGTACTTCTTTGGTACTCCTTTCAGTGACAAACACTGCCAGAGAGCCTCACGATCAATAGAGTCGAATGCCGACTTAAGGTCGAGAAATACTACCATTGTGGGGCGTCTGAATGTGTGTCTGTGTTCTAGAACCTGACATAGTGTGAATATCTGATCTATACAACCACGTCCAGGTCGAAAACCAGCCTGATTTTCTCTAGTCTGTTCTTCACGAGCTTTAGTTAGGCGTCGAAGTATTATTGAGGCTAACATTTTAGACACTATATTAGTCAAACTGGTTCCTCTATGATTGTCACAAGAGGACTTTTGTCCTTTCTTATAGACTGGCACAATCAGTGATTGAGACCAGTCAGATGGGATTACGTCCAGTTTCCAAATTCTACCTAAGACCTCAATCAATCTCACTGCTAATACTGGACCACCATCCTTAAAAATCTCAGGAGTAAACCTGTCAGGGCCTGCTGCTCTCCCTCGTTTCAGATTTCCTATGGCTTTTTCAACTTCGTAGAGAGTCGGAGGACCTACACTTACTTGCCATTCAGGTTGACTGGAGATCGTGGGAAACAGAAGTGTGGTTGGAGGCCAGTTGAACTGATCCCTAAAGTGTTCTGCCCATCGATCCAATCTCCTGGATTGAGAATGTATAATATGTCCATCTTTCTCTGAGATTGTTTCGCTAACAGTCGGGTTCCTAATACCGGTTTCCTTATCAAGTCTGAACAATTATCTGCTATTACCTATTGCCGCTGCCTTTTCCATCTCTCTTGCTTTCGCTACCCACCACTCTTCACGATCATTGCGTAGACTTCTTGTCAGCTTGCGCTTAAGCTGACTCCGCTGTTCGTTATGTTCAGAGCCAGATGGAATGAGTTTTCGAGCATCTATCAGTGTGGTAGATGCTGCTGAGATCCAGTGTTGCTCCCTTACCTTCTGGTTTACCGTACTAGCAGATATCACTGCTGTTTCCACAGCTATTCGGATATCATTCCATCACATATATGGCTGCCTAACTGTTTTTCTAGTTGTTCCTGAAATATACTCTTAGCTTGACTATCATTAAGTAGGACCCTAAGAGGTTTCCTTACTGCGTCTTTCTTACGTCCAGTAAGACGCAGGCAAATACACGCTCGCACTAGAGCATGACCTGAATCTAAACATGTGCTCCAGAATGAGCGACAGTCTTCTATCGAGCCCCTCCATCGGTGGCTGATAGCGATGTGATCTATTTGGGTCCAACGTTGGTACGAATTAGGGGGTCGCCATGTTAAAAGATGTATTTCCTTATGCTTAAAGTTAGTATTTGCAAGGAACAGGCGGTTATCTGAGCATAGCTGCAACATACGGTCGCCATTATCTATTCTCTGAGCCACGACACCATAAGATCCACCCAGGTGTCTTTCCCTCTCACTTAGTTTACCTACTTGAGCATTAAAGTCACCAGCCACTATTACTACATCAGAGCGCCTAGCTCTTCGGAGAAGGTCAGAGAGCTTTCTGTAAAACTCATCTTTTACATCATCTGAGCTGCAGTCTGTGGGAGAATAGGTAGAGACGACGAAGAGGCAACGACGAGTGTCCCTATCTTTCCGGATCCTTACTGTTCCGTTTAATCGGACAGCGCACAAACGACTGTCTACTGGGATCCAGTTTAAGAGAGCTAGTTTTGGCATAGGACTCAGTGCTATGCCTACGCCGGCGAGGCCACGGGAAGCAGAATCAGGGCTTCCAGATACACGAAGCGTGAATCGAGTTGGTTCTTTATTCTGATATGCTGAGGTCAAGTGAATGACGCTACTCGGATCCTGTATGCGCGTTCCGGAGACGCAGCACAGACCGATGACGCGAGATTCTAAAGTCCTAGCGGAGGAAGCCTGTTGTCCTGTTTGGCACAGTGTTCGGACGTTAAAAGCTCCTACATGTAGTTTAGAGCGTGGTTTCAAGAGACCACGAATAGCGTTCCACGTACTCGAATCGTTTGCCCTAGCGGTGCGAGATGATAAAGAGGCGTGAGGAGGGTTAGTCGGGGAGATAAGAGAGGTATTAGGAGGTGTAGGAAGGATTTGAATGTGACCAACTTGGTCTCGTGTGGTGTCACGGGTATGAGGGCTGGTGTCACTTCCCG